AATTAGAATTAGTTGCAATAGAAGTACCAGTAGTAGTAGTAGCAGGTTTTAATGTTTTAACATACAATTGCGAATGCAAGATTAATATTAAGAACAAGCATGTCGGATAATAGATTGAGTCTAGACTTACTTGCTATGTTGCAAGAATATGAAAATTCTGGTCAAAATATCGAATATTTAAAGCGCATGTAAATACGGTTCTTTCACAAAGCTCAAAGGCTTTTATAAAGTTCATTTTATTCAATTGTGACCTTGCTTATATTTATCAATTGCAAACTTGCTTTGATTTGTTTACAAATCAACTTAAACAGCTTGTTTTTAACAAACTTATGTTTTACAATTGCCAGTATTTCCAATTAACCTTCGGACAATACTTCATTAACCGTTGTTAGCACTCACTAAAAGTAAATTACGTTACTAATCGTTGTTAACACTCACTAGTTAGTCTAACTTTTGCTTACTCGCTAAAGAAAATAAGCGTGGATTTTTACCAAGGAAATAATACACTTGTTGCTTTCACCGAAATGAAAGAAAATAAAAACAGCATTTTTATTTTTTTATTCAAATCATCATCATCATTCTAATGATTTAGATTGTTGACTTAATTTATTTAGCAAGCAAGCTTGTATAAAATGACGTTTGTAATTTTTGCGCCGGAAAGATATTTTTCCGATTGAAGATTTCTTGTCGTTTTGATTACGGATTTCTCGAGCAGTTGGTCTATTGTCTCTACATTTTTTCATAGAATTCGGTGACATAACAGAATGATTTTTGTTTTGTTAAGCAATTATTTTAAAGAACATCTTCCTTTTCATTCTTCTTAATACTCTTTACCACCACCACCACCATTTCTTTCATTCTACCTTTATTATTTAGAACATTTCTATCTGTTCAACTCAACCACTACAATTATACAATTAAAGTAATGCGTATTTTTTTATTCCAATTATCTATTTATATAAAAAACAAAAAAATTTTCAAGGATATATTTGCAAATGTTTCTTCTGGATGCGACGAATGAATACAAACATTTCGGATTACCTATATGCAAATCCTGGGATACGACTTCTTTGATTCGTCGAATACATGTTTACGTCAAGCCATAATTCAAAGTTGTATGGTTTTTTTTTAAATTGAAGTACTATATGTAACTGCACAAATATGACACTTTGGAATTTCATTATTTTTTATAATCTTATCTACCACCACCGATGAAGTTTTAATGCCATTAGTAATATTATCACGATGATGCTAATGATATATATATAAGAATTAAGTTATTATTATTGATGACATTATCAGGAATTTGAATGATTGATGAAGTTGATGATGGAATTGAAAGGTAGAAATGCAGCAACTTGTAAACCATTACCAGTTTTTTCGCTTTTTGGAATTGACAAGGCAATAAAACTTAAGAAAGGAAGAGCAGAATAATTTTAAAAAAATTTTAACCGTAGTTCAATTAAACTATTGTTAAATCAAACCCACGGTTAAACCGCAAAATATAAATCTTTAAATGTGTTCGGGCGTGATTGGCTAATTTAATCTTCGCCATGTTAACAAAAGGGCAGTTTGAGCTCAAGAACCCCAAAATGGTATTGATACCATTATATTCTTTGATAATTATTTGTGCAGTGTATACATAATAAGCCATCAAATCACTATGCCGTATGTATCATTTTTTTATTACAAACATGCAGTTTAATGTTTTTTGTGTGCTATTAATATATAGTTTATCAATTTCTTCCAATATTATCAAAGCAATATTCTTCTTGAAAAACTGTTAAACCTTTCCTATAACATTCCATTTACTTTACTGATTTTAATGCATGCATACTTATTTGTTTTAATGATATAGAATCAATACATTTTCTTATAAATCACAATCACAATGTTGTCTTGGATACTTTTTAACGAATCTACAATTAATCGCAGCAAAGGATCTGCGACAATTGGGACCTTTTCTAGCAAAAACGGTCTTCCATAAAAATAGATTTTTTTTGGGTAAATCACAAATTAAAATTGTTACACGAAAAAGGAAAATTGCCCCCTAAAATTTGATAATATTATTTTATTACGGTGCAGATCATCTATAATCATTAATTGCTTATAGTAACAATTGGTCAACTTCAAAATACTAAAACAAAAAAAA